TTGAAGCTGTTGAAGCTGTTGAAGCTGTTGAAGCTGTTGAAGCTGTTGAAGCTGTTGAAGCTGTTGAAGCTGTTGAAGCTGTTGAAGCTGTTGAAGCTGTTGAAGCTGTTGAAGCTGTTGAAGCTGTTGAAGCTGTTGAAGCTGTTGAAGCTGTTGAAGCTGTTGAAGCTGTTGAAATATATCAATCACAATACAACGACACACACAATACTAGGCTATATCTTAACTTAACCCACGTCATGACAGACGGCTCCCTAACCCTAAGCTCAATGGGGAACTAAATAGCTTTTTTGGTGGTGAAGGGAAGATGACGATGAAGGAGTGGCTTGTCACTTTAAAGAACTGGGGCCACAACCACCAGACTGCCCTCCAGAAAACCTCTCAACCCGAAGGGAAAGGAAATCCGAAGGGGGTGACCATGTCGCATGTGGGGTTCGAACCCTCGACCTTCCGATTAAGATAAAAGACACTTAACCAGTCAGCCACACGTGCTTTATTGTTAGAAACTTTTCGAAAAGTAAAAAGTGGAAAGGCTTTTTCAATGCTTCAATCAATGCTTCTTTTAACACATTTTTGAGAACAAAGTCCATTGAAAAGTGAAATCTCTTACTTACTCGATTGATTCAAATGTTTTCCACGTGAAAAGGACTCAATCTTGGCACAAATGACAATATTTATTAATTACTTACACATGTTGACTCATTGTCAATGGACAAAGTCAATAGTTTGGTCTGATTCTCTTTTCTCTGAAAGTCTGATTCTCTTTTGTTTGTTCGTTCTCTTCTGTGAGAGTCAAACCAAAAGAGACACTCAATAAATGAAATTCCCAATTTCGACACTAACCAAATTATTTCTACTTTATGTAATATGAGCTTTTCATAATTTACATTTCAATTAACTTCTTGAATCTACCTTTTCTGCTGCTACTGCTACTGCTACTGCTACTGCTACTGTTCTGTACTGCTACTGCTACTGCTACTGCTACTGCTATTGCTATTGCTACTGCTACTGCTATTGCTACTGCTACTGCTTAGTGCTTTTAGAAACGGCCTTTCACTCAAATTCATTTTCTAATTGAACGTTCTAATCGAACTTTCTAATTGAAATTTTTATTATCTAAAGCTGCGATCAAATGAAATACAATTTGTTTCATTAGATACGTCAATGATTTCTCTTGTAAATCACTTTTGAATGTTTCTGAAAAGCTTTGTTTTTAAGGTTTTTCATTAGCAAAAAGCCAAATGTTCTCAAAAACGGTCTGATGATGCGATTTGTACCATTTCTTTCAATGAAACCTATTTTGGTGACAAAATAAAAAAGATAGCGCACAAAAAGTTACGTTTACAACCAAAATTTCAGAATAATCCCTTTAGCGGTTTTCTTTCTGTGCTCATTTTTCAATTTTAATTTTCTATTTTTAAAAACTCCACTTTTCTTTCTCGTAGATTATTCTAAAATACTAAAAATTGTTTTTAAAATGACAGAAAGTAAACGATAAACATTTATAATGAAAGAAATTGTTTGGTATTTGATAGTTTGAGACTCGTTCATTTAGATTATGAAATGAGAGGTGCAAGACTTAGTATTCAACCTAATAGAATAAACTAAGCCAAGCTAAGCTCAGTCCTAAGCCAAGCTAAGCTCAGCCCTAAGCCAAGCTAAGCTCAGCCCTAAGCCAAGCTAAGCTCAGCCCTAAGCCAAGCTCAGTCCTAAGCCAAGCCAAGCTCAGTCCTAAGCCAAGCTAAGCTCAGCCCTAAGCCAAGCTCAGTCCTAAGCCAAGCTAAGCTCAGTCCTAAGCCAAGCTCAGTCCTAAGCCAAGCTCAGTCCTAAGCCAAGCTAAGCTCAGTCTTAAGCCAAGCTAAGCTCAGCCCTAAGCCAAGCTAAGCTCAGCCCTAAGTCAAGCTAAGCCAAATCCCAAAAATGCGATTGTACTCTAGTCATTACACTTCTTCTAATAACAAAAACGCTACACAATAAAGAACATTAGTCAGCACTTCTTGATTTGGACCATTTCTTTCAATGAAACCTATTTTGGTGACAAAATAAAAAAGATAGCGCACAAAAAGTTACGTTTACAACCAAAAATTTCAGAATAATCCCTTTAGCGGTTTTCTTTCTGTGCTCATTTTTCAATATTTTTAAAAATCCCATTTTTCGTTCTCGTAGATTATTCTAAAATACTAAAAACTGTTTTTAAAATGCCAAAAAGTAAACGAAAAGCATTTAAGGAAAGTTTTTGGTATTTGGTAGTTTAAGCCTTATTTAGATAATGAAATGATAATTTAGATAATGAAATGAAGAGTGCAAGCCTTAGTACTCAACCTAATATAAATCATTTCCTCTAATAAGCTCCGCCCCTTGACCAACTTTAGACACTTCGTTCTCAGCCCCATTTTGAGCTATTTTTATGTTTAATATACCAAAAGATAGAAGACATTAAAGACTATCTTTTGGTATATTAAACACAAAAATAGCTGAAAATGGGGCTAAGAACGAAGCGTCCAAAGTCGGTCAAGGGGGTTTAGAAGCCTTCGAGTTTAGACGCCTCGTTCTCAGCCCCATTTTGAAAGGATTTTATATTTAATATATGAAAAGATAGAAGACATTAAGGGCTATCTTTTGGTATACTAAACATAAAAATAGCTCAAAATGGGACTGAAAATGAGGTGTCTAAAGTTGGTCGAGGGTCGAATCTAGTAAATGCCTCCCTCGACCAACTTTAGACACCTCATTTTCAGTCCTATTTTGCGATATTTTTATGTTTAATATACCAAAAGATAGCCCTGAATATCTTCTATCTTTTGGTATATTAAACACAAAAATAGCTGAAAATGGGGCTAAGAACGAAGCGTCTAAAGTCGGTCAAGGGGGTTTAGAAGCCTTCGAGTTTAGACGCCTCGCTCTCAGCCCCATTTTGAAAGAATGTTATATTTAATATACGAAAAGATAGAAGACATTAAGGGCCATCTTTTGGTATATTAAACACAAAAATATCTTAAAATGGGGCTAAGAAAGAAGCGTCCAAAGTTGATCGAGAGCGAGGGGCGCTTATTAGAGGAAATAAGATAGCAGGATATGGTTTAACCATTCCGAAGAAAGTGATTTCATAAATATCAATTTAATCTATCATAAAATATACCATACTTTACTCGTATACTATATTTTGTTAGTTTTCTAACAGTTTTCTAACGTTTTCTAACAGTTTTCTAACTCGTATACCATATTTTGTTAGTTTTCTAGTCAAAGTTCAGCTTAAAGGTTCGTTTTAAAGGTTTTAAAGTTCGTTCTAAAGGTTTTAAAGGGTTTTAAAGGTTTTAAAGTTCGTTCTAAAGGTTTTAAAGTTCGTTCTAAAGGTTTTAGAGTTCGTTCTAAAGGTTTTAAAGGGTTTTAAAGGTTTTAAAGTTCGTTCTAAAGGTTTTAAAGGGTTTTAAAGGTTTTAAAGTTCGTTCTAAAGGTTTTAAATTCGTTTTAAAGGTTTTAAAGTTCGTTCTAAAGGTTTTAAATTCGTTTTAAAGGTTTTAAAGTTCGTTCTAAAGGTTTTAAATTCGTTTTAAAGGTTTTAAAGTTCGTTCTAAAGGTTTTAGAGTTCGTTCTAAAGGTTTTAAAGGGTTTTAAAGGTTTTAAAGTTCGTTCTAAAGGTTTTAGAGTTCGTTCTAAAGGTTTTAAAGGGCTTTAAAGGTTTTAAAGTTCGTTCTGAAGGTTTTAAAGTTCGTTCTAAAGGTTTTAGAGTTCGTTCTAAAGGTTTTAAAGGGTTTTAAAGGGTTTTAAAGTTCGTTCGAAAGGTGATTTCGCTAAGAATTTGATTGAAACGATGTTCTTTAAACATTTTACTAGATAAATACGATATTTAGTCATAGTCAAATGTTTCATTGACTCATCAAAATCACAAATCTAGGCACAAAAGTAGTTTAGAGTGTAGTTTGGTACTCTCTTTTTGAATGAATGAATGAATAACAACAGCTGTCTATCGGGATTCCCCCATCGCTTTCTTTTCGCTTTTCTCTTTTCTCTCTTCTCTTTTTCTCTTTTCACAAAATCTCTTCAAACTTCTACTTAAATCTCAAAGCTTTCAGCCATTTTTTTTCTTTTTTTCACTCTTGAACCCATCTGACCATCTCATTTCCTCAAAAATTTCTCTTTCCCACATTAATTTTGTTGTTCTTTTCTAGTTTTTTCTTCTTTTTCTTCTTTTTCTTCTTTTTCAATTGTTTACTTGTCTATTTTATATTTATTTTCTTGTTTTCTTGTTTTGTTTGTTTGTTTTCTTGTTTTAATCAAGCAAATAGGGGAGTGGGACAAATGCGACCTTTTTTTTGCGCACCCGGACATTTGCGCACCTTTTTTTCCGCACCTTGCCCATTAGCGCACCTTTTTTCGCCTTTTTAAAAAAGCTCTAAAAAGCTAAAAAGCTCTAAAAAGCTCTAAAAAGCTAATATTAACCAATTTCTATTCCAAATGTTGTTTTTCTAGGTAATTTTAGGGTGTCAGAATCCAAATTTTGACATAACAGAGCGTGTGGAACCAATTTGAAAGACAAAACGGCTAGATCAAATTACAAATTACAAATTACAGAAAATTGTCGATTTTTCTCTTTGTATAACTCCGTCCGTTTGTTTCCACAAGCTCTGATATGTCAAAATTTCGATTCTACGCCCTAAAATTACCTAGAAAAACAACATTTGGAATGGAAATTGGTTAATATTAGCTTTTTTAGCTTTTTAGCTTTTTAGAGCTTTTTAAAACCGCGAAAAAGGTGCGCTAATGGGCCAGGTGCGGAAAAAAAGGTGCGCAAATGTCCGGGTGCGCAAAAAAAGGTCCCATTTGTCCCACTCCCTCTTTTTCAATTGTTTACTTGTCTATTTTATATTTATTTTCTTGTTTTCTTGTTTTGTTTGTTTGTTTTCTTGTTTTCTTGTTTTTTTTTCGTTTTCTTGTTTTCAATTGGTTACTTGTCTATTTTTTAATTATCTATTTATTTTTATTTCCAGTTATTTTCATTCATGGGCGGAGTGATCACATTTGGACGCTTTCGTCAGCAGAGACCGAAGAAACCGAGTAGAGAGGTGAGACGAATTTGATTAGTAGAGGAATTTGATTGAAACGGCGGTTTTCTTTAAACATTTTACTAGATAAATTGCGATACTCAAGGAAAAGACTGAGAAAATCGTTTACCGTATTTTCTCTAATAGTAGTGCACCCCGGCGAGCCGATTTGGTGACGATTTTACGGTTTCCAAACTTTTGCAGAAGCTCAACACTCAAATCCCCCACAAGATCACAAGATCGAGCCGTATCATAGTCAAATGTTTCATTGACTCATCATTGAAACGATCTAGTGCACTGAAATTTAAAGTTAAAGCTTTAAATTCAATAATCTAACAATTAGCATTCAAACTTTAATCCATTTTTTTAAAGCAGATTTATTTAAGATTTAAGATTTAAGATTTAAACAATTTTCTCTAATACTAGTGCACCCTGAGCGTCGCCTAAATTCCTTGAAATCTCGAGAACCGCTTATCAGAACCTATCGATGTGGGGTCGGAAAATGTAGCTGACGATGAGATCTTGTGGGGGATTAGAGGATTTGGAGCAGCGTAGAGAGGAGGAGTAGTGATTGTGATTGAGGAAGTGATGGTGGTTATCGAGAGCTCTCGAAGTGCTTGATGGGCACGATGTTTGAGACGTTCCAACAGCACCAAATGCTTTGAAGCTGCCTCCAGCACTTCATTGGCTCCATCGGTTGAATCTAACTGTCGCTCAATTACTTCCGAATCCGAACTAAATCGGCATACCGTATTCTCTCTAGTAGTACCCCGTGCTTTGCCTAAATTCCTCGAAATCTCAAGAACCGCTTATCAGAACATATCGATGTGGGATCGGAAAATGTAGCTGACGATGAGATCTAGTGAGGGATTAGAGTGTTGAGCTTCTGCAGAAGCTTGGGAGCTGTTAAATAGTCACCAGCTCGGCTGCTATTACCTTATCCATTACCTATTACCTGCTATTACCTACTATTACCTTACCTAGGGGTGCACTACTATTAGAGAAAATACGGTAAACGATTTTCTCAGTCTTTTCCTTGAGTCAACAAGTTTCATGATCGGTTTCTTTGAAAAATTAAGCAAAATTTCCATAAACAGTTCGCTATTTTTACTCTAGCAATCGGATTTTAATCTTTTAAAACTTTATTTTAATTTATTAGCTTTTAAAGGTTGTAAAATTGAGACTTTGGTGACACTACTGGCTTTAAAGATACTGTAACATTGAAATTTCAGCTAATAATCAGTCAATAGGTAAAGATTTTGTAGTCAAAAGTTCGATATTCAATCCGATAAATTTGTTTCTGGTTTAAGACTGGTTTAAGACTGGTTTAAGACGGGTTTAAGACTGGTTTAAGCCTGCTTTAAGACTGCTTTAAGCCTGCTTTAAGACTGCTTTAAGGCTGCTTTAAGACTGCTTTAAGGCTGCTTTAAGACTGCTTTAAGGCTGCTTTAAGACTGCTTTAAGACTACTTTAAGCCTGCTTTAAGACTGCTTTAAGCCTGCTTTAAGACTGCTTTAAGCCTGCTTTAAGACTGCTTTAAGGCTGCTTTAAGACTGCTTTAAGGCTGCTTTAAGAGAAGATTCTATTGTTTTTTAATGTTTATTATTGTTTTTTAATGTTTATTATATGTAAAAGTTGAATAGTTTTTTGTGAAAGGTAGATAGAATAAGGTTAATTTGAAATTTGAAATTTGAAACCGAGAACACCCAAGTTGGTCAAAGAAAAAAAAGCAAAGATGAATGGGGAGGCGAACGAGAGAAAGTTCACTTTCTAACCCACTACCACTCGGCCATTGGCCCTTCTGAAACACCTTTGGAAAGCGAAATTGTCATAATTTGAGTTCGAAAATGCTTTGTAAAACTTGAAACTCATATAACTTTTTATAGAAAGCTCATTTGCAAAAACTGAAGCCAGATTCGCAATCAGCGTGAAATTCTGTGTCAAATGGTGGATGGCTTAGTTCATTTGCCCTTCGAAAATGGCTTGTAAAACTTTAAACTCATATAAATTTTGATAAAGTAGCGCATAAGAAAAACTGAAGCCAGATTCGGAATCAGCGTGAAATTCTGTGTCGAATGGTGGATGGCTTAGCTCATTTGGCTTATCTCATCAGCAATAAGACTTAGCTCATTTGCCCAATTCGCCTTTCCTTGTAAGCTAATTAATTTTTAGGTTCGAATTCGTACTGGTTTAATCACGGGTTTTCTTGTGGACATCGATTCACAACGAGAAGTCGAAATCTTTTTGGGAATCCCGTTTGCACAGCCGCCAATTGGAGAAAAGCGATTTAAGGTGAGCAAAAAGAAAAAAATGCGTTTTGATGAGTTCAAAAGAAGAGCAATATGTAGAGTTTAATGAAATTCTTGAGAACTCATCAAATTCTTTTCTCTTTCATTGAGAAATTCTACAATTATACAACTTAAAATAAGCAACTTTTACATCAATAAATGCCGGAATCTTTCTTCAACCTTTTTTAGTGTCATTCTTCTATTCTATTCTATTCTATTCTATTGGATTGGTGAATTGAAAACTGCCGGCTATTTTGCGGGACTCGCAAATAAAAAAAACAACGGCATTGAACCAGCTGAAAGGGGCTTTGGTTACTTCAACATTTCCTCAAATTATTGCGAAAAAATTATGCTTCCAGCTTTTTATTTTTTGGTATTCTTCACTTCTATTGCACTCAACAATCTGCCACCGGGACATATTGGTCATGTCATGCTTCATGAGTTCCTACAAGAGCACAGTGCAGGCTTGACCACCGGGAAATTTTCGTCATGTCATGCTTCATGAGTTCCTACAAGAGCACAGTGCAGGCTTGACCACCGGGAGATATTGGTCATGTCATGCTTCATGAGTTCCTACAAGAGCACAGTGCAGGCTTGACCACCGGGAGATATTGGTCATGTCATGCTTCATGAGTTCCTACAAGAGCACAGTGCAGGCTTGACCACCGGGACATCTTCGTCATGTCATGCTTCATGAGTTCCTACAAGAGCACAGTGCAGGCTTGGAAGCTGCTAATATTAAAAAGATATATGAGGAGGACTCACCTTCCGAAAGAACGTATGGTTTGTCAAGTTTCGATCTGGGGACAAAAGATGCAGAGGGCCGTGGAGCGGCACCCCAACTGGATGATTTCAAATTACTTGAACTCCATTACAAACGACCATCGGGTATCATCGCGTGAACTGGGAAAAGAGTTAGGGGTTGATCATGTTACAGTGCTAAGGCACCTTCATACCCTTGGATTTAAATCGAAACTTGGGGCTTAGGTGCCCCATGACCTCACTGACCCCTAGAAGTGGCAGCGCACCTCCATCAGTGCAGCTCATCCTCTCACGATACGAAAGGAAATTCTTTCTTCCGAGAATTGTGACAGGAGATGAGAAATGGGTTTTAACTGTGAACTTTCGGAGGAAGCGGCAATGGGTGGGGCCAGGCGAGAAACCCGAAAGTGACCCTAAACCCGATTTGCACCAGAAGAAGTTTATGCTTTCTATCGAGTATGGTTTGCCAAGTTTCGATCTGGAGAGAAATCTTTGAAAGATGCGCCGTGGAGCGGCACTCCAACTGGATGATTCCAAATTACTCGAACTCCATTACCAACGACGATCGGGTATCATCGCGTGAATTTGAAGAAGGGTTAGGGGTTGATCATGTTACAGTGCTAAATCACCTTCATACCCTTCATAACCAGTTGTTTTTTTATCTGCGAATCCCGCGAAATAGCCGGCAGTTTTCAATTCACCAATCCAATATTATATTATATCTTTTATTATATCGATATCTTGCTTTCAGAAACCCGAACCACCATCAGATTGGGATGGGACTCTTGCGTGTACCCGATTTGGTCCTCGTGCTCCTCAAGCAGATTTCTTTTGGGAACGATGGTCGTTGGGAGTTGGGAAATCAGAGGATTGCTTAAATTTGAACGTTTTCGCACCCACGTGGTCACCGCCAAACAATGAGGTCAGATCTAATAGCACTTATCGTACTTTTAAAAGCTCATAGTCAAAAACATTGGCGAAAAAGATAGCTCAAAGATCAAAGATAAGTTGAACGAAAATCTAGCTGACTTACTAGGAAAGGGTACTAGGTGGGATTTGCGAAACGAGACCCAGATTCGAAGCTAGTTCGAATTTTCGCCCTAAACGAGGCCTAGCTTTGGCCCTAGTTCGAATTTTTGCCCTAAACGAGGCCTAGCTTCGGCCCTAGATCGAATTTTCGCCCTAAACAAGGCCTAGCTTCGGCCCTAGATCGAATTTTTGCCCTAAACGAGGCCTAGCTTCGGCCCTAGATCGAATTTTCGCCCTAAACAAGGCCTAGCTTTGGCCCTAGATCGAATTTTTGCCCAAAACGACACCTAGATTCCAACCCATCACAAAAAAAAACTCGACTAGTTCCGTAGACCATCACACCATCCACTAAACCACGACCGCCGCTGAAAGAAGGCACAAACTCAACCCAAGAATGTCTAACAAAAACTTTCAGACCAAAAATGACAAGAAAAAATTGCGTTTACGAGCTATTCCGCAGACTTTGATTACAGATTCGGAATCCCCATTCGATTTTCTATTGAATGAACTAGGGCCGAAGCTAGGCTAGGCTAATCTCGTTTCGAAATCCCACGGTGATCCTTCCCTAGTTAGAATCAGAGTTAGAATCAGAGTTAGAATCAGAGTTAGAATGAATCAAGTTCTGAAATCAGTCAGTGATTGGGTAAATTGATTCTTTACCAATTTCAGGACGGTTTCGCTGTGATGGTTTACGTGCATGGCGGTGGCTATGTGATCGATTCAGCAGTCAAATACGGAGACGTCGGCATAGCAAAGTGAGTAAACAAAAAAAAGCGTTGAACCAGCAAAACAATTCAGATATTTGTGTCGACACGATGTCGTTGTGGTCACAATTCAGTACAGATTGGGCTTATTGGGTTTCTTCTCGACGGGTGATGAGAATTGTGCCGGCAATTTGGGGCTATGGGATCAGACGATGGCTTTGCAATGGGTACAGGTTGGTGTGAGCGACAATTTGATGTTAAAAAGCTCGAATACCTTTTGGTAGTGTTGTGGTTAAAGACTTTAAATGCAAAAAATCGTTTAGGACAATATTCACGCTTTCAAAGGCGATCCACGACGGGTGACTGTGTTCGGACAGAGTGCTGGTGGTGCCTCGGTTGATCTACTCACTTTAAGTCCACACAGCAGAAGTGAGTCGCTTGTTGGAGAGCTTGCAAGTAATACAAGTAGACATGGGCACTACAAACTCCAAACATAAACTCCAAACACTTCTAACTTGCTTTAAATCTATCGGATTGATACGAGCTATAGCTCAAAAAATAGAGAATTTCAAGAGCTTTCGAATGGATTAAAGCACACTGAAAAGTCTCAATTCTAAAGAAAGTTACACTGGTTTATAGTCCTGCTTTGAAAAACTTCAGCCCAAACCCGTTTAAGCATATGGATCACATCAAAGAAATCGAATTTGTATTGAATGATCTTTCTATTAAACTCCGTTAAGTTTGAGGTAATGTCTTAAGTTTGTTTATTCCATTTCTTGAGGTAATTCTCGCCAAAAAATTCACCGCTCCTCCATAAAGAACCGGTAATTTTTGGCTAAAACATTGTGGTTTCTTTGTTTTCCAATTTCCGGATAGCCAAAGCCCGTATGCTATGCTCCGGGGGAATTTCCTGCGAAACGCCATCGGAACATTGGAAAAAAACTAAACTAGTCCAGAGCCCGTATGCTACGCTTCGAGAAAAGTTCCTGCGGCGTTTCTGATCTTTACGGCGGCACCTTTGATCTTTTCGGTGAAACGTCCATAGTTTTCCTAATGATCGGACTTTTCCTTGAAGAGTTCCTCGGAAAATTCCGGTGGAAAGTTTTACCGGAAACATTCTGGAAGAAAATTATGTTCCGTGGGAAAACTATGGACGTTTTAGCGGAAAGATCAATGGTGCCGCTGTAAAGATCAGAAACGCCGCAGGAACTTTTCTCGGAGCGTAGCATACGGGCTCAGTTTGTAGCTTTTAGAGTCTTTTAAAGTCTTCTAGAGTCTTCTAGAGTCTTTTAGAGTCTTTTAGACTCGATCGCGTCGACTACGCGCGCGCTTGTTTCGAGTCAGGCTACAAATCACTGTATCTTTCTTTAGAATTAATATTTCTCAGTGTACTTTAATCCATTCGAAAGCTCTTGAAATTCTGTATTTTTTGAGCTATAGCTCGTATCAATCCGATAGATTTAAAGGAAGTTAGAAGTGTTTTTAGTTTATGTTTGGAGTTTGTAGTTTGTAGCTTGGAGTTTTTAGCTTATGTTTGTAGTTTGTAGTTTAAGTTTGTCATTTTTATATTTTATAGTGTTCTTGTCTATATAAAAGCTTTTAGATCTCTTCCAGCAAGTGATTCCGATGGCTGGAAATGCGGAATGTGAATGGGCGACAGTGACGCGAGGACGACTCGTCGATTATTGTAGACAATTCGCGAAATCAAAGGGTTTTATATCAGGATCATACAGTAAGCTCGAAATTCTATCAGTTTTTAAAATTTATTTAGGACAAAAGCCATTCTAGCCTTAAATAGCGCTCTTTTTTTCAGATTCAAAAGCCAACGCTGACATGCTGAAGTGGCTACGCGGTAGGCCGGCCAAGGAATTCGAGAGAGCACTCATCGGGAGAAAGGCTAGAACTAGAAATTAGCTAATATCTAATATCTAACGACTATCAAATGCTATCTATCTATGAAATATTCAACTAATGTTTTTAGGGAGTCGACACCTCGAAGTTAGGCCTTGATTTGGCACCCCTAGTTGGCCATGATCCAACCGATTTTTTCCCTAAACCATTGCACGATTTGCGTAAAGAGGCGCCCAAGAAAAACGCAATGGCTGGAGTTTGTGAACAAGAAGGTTTACTGTTTGGTGAGTTCGAAATAAACAATGTATTTCAAAAAGACGCCCCGAGTTTATAAGCACATTTCCGTTGTCAGAAATCGCTTGTTGTCAGGAAGCAGCGCTAGCCGAGTGGCAGTGGGTTAGAATACAAGGCAGAGTGTCCCCACCCTGCTTTTCTCTGTTTAGAAACAGCTTTTCCAAAGGCCTCAGCAAGCTCAGAGCTTTTCTAAAGGCCTCAAGAAGCATTTTGTATGAATGCTTGTAAACTCGAGGGATGATTTTCAAATTTCATACAAAACTTTGAGCGCTTATAACTTTTGACAGAGTGCTTCGTTTCAAAAACAGAAAGCAGATTCGAGATGAGCGCAAAGTTCTGCGTTGAATTCTGCGTGTCATTTGACCACCACAGCCGCCTGATCTTCCCTTGTTAGTCATTTGTAAGCATATGTACAAAAAAAAATGGTCAAGAGTTGTTCAAAAAGCTGATATTTTTATTTTATCCTAGTGTATTGAGCGTAGAATTTTGAAGCTTGAAGGGGCAAATACCTAGAAGTTTGAGCTTTTATGCAATTCTTGTTTTCTTTAGGCTTTGAGTTTAAGTAGAAAGAAATCAGTGAAAAAATCGGAAAAGGAAAAGGAAGAGAATTGAAGGAATTGGCAAGAAAAAGTCGATTTCCGGAGAGGGGATTGAACCCTCGACCTTTTGCTTTCCGATTGCTTTTGCTATTGCTCTTGCTCTTGGTTGAATCGCTCTAACCACTGAGCTATTCGGTGCTAAGCTTGGAGCTAAGTTTGGAGCTAAGTTTGGAGCTAAGTTTGGAGCAAGAGAAAGAGGGAAACACAAGGGGAACAAAGAGCTTTTCTTCTTTAAAACTTCAAAAGCTAATTTCCAGCTGTCGTCTCTCCAAATAACATGGATGAAAAGGGTTTCGATCGTCTCCTTTCCGTTTGTATATCCGAAGATCTTCATCTAAATTTCAAAGAGTTACGAGCAGCCGCAAAACAACTTTATATGAAAGACGTTGACAAGGGAGATAAACAAGCGATGGCGAAAGCTTTTGTGAAGGTGAGTGTGCTAAGTTTGGAGCTAGACTTGGAGTTAAACTTGGAGCTAAGTTTGGTGCTAGATTTGGAGCTAGATTTGGAGCTAAACTTGGAGCTAAGTTTGGAGCTAAGCTTGGAGCTAGACTTGGAGCTAAACTTGGAGCTAGACTTGGAGCTAAGTCTGGAGCTAAGTCTGGAGCTAGATTTGGAGCTAAGTTTGGAGCTAGACTTGGAGCTAAGTTTGGAGCTAGACTTGGAGCTAAGTTTGGAGCTAGACTTGGAGCTAAGTTTGGAGCTAAACTTGGAGCTAAGTCTGGAGCTAAGTCTGGAGCTAATTTTGGAGGTAGATTTGGAGCTAAACTTGGAGCTAAGTCTGGAGCTAAGTTTGGAGCTAAGTTTGGTGCTAGATTTGGAGCTAAACTTGGAGCTAAGTTTGGAGCCAGCTTCACACGCTAAACTAGTTTATAGACATAAGATTAACGTTAGATGTGAGCAAAAGATTGAAAGATTTAGCTTTGGCACAAATTTGCAATACATTGAAATGATGAAATGAGCAAAAGATTGAAATCCTGTATCGTAAACTTCCCTAAAATCCTTTCAGCTCTATTCGGACGTTTTCCTCAACACTGGCACGAGTCGATATGTGAGAACGATGGTGGAAAATGGAAATAAAGTCTATTTCTATTCATTCAACCATTTCAATCCGAGAAGTTTTGGTGTGCTGGCGCTAAAAATGCCTTTTAAAGGTAAGCAAATTGAAGCAAATTCAAAATTTCAAGTGAAATCACGAATCCCATCACATTCCATAAGCCCAAATGCTCTATTTCCATATGATTTTCTCAAAAAACTAAAAGAGTTGACAGTTTTTCGTTTAAATCTTTCAAATCTACAAATCTTGAAACGTTTCATATAAGACTTGCTGCTGACCGGCTTGCTGTTGACCGGCTTGCTGTTGACCGGCTTGCTGTTGACCGGCTTGCTGCTGACCGGCTTGCTGTTGACCGGCTTGCTGCTGACCGGCTTGCTGTTGACCGGCTTGCTGTTGACCGGCTTGCTGCTGAAAAGAAAATGAAATGGAGAAATGTTGAAGTTGAAGAAAGAAGAAATGGAGAAAAGTAGAGCGAGCACAACCCCTAAGCCCTATTTATAAGGAAAAAACCCATATATATGGAAAAAAAAACCAATAAGGTAACCGGCGGGATCGAACCCTCGACATCCCGAGATACAGGGCTCTTACCCAGTCGACTATGGCGGCCATAGCGGGCGAATTGTTTGGGGAGGCTTTAATGACAATTTAATGACCGTGACCTCACCTTTAAGAGGGTGCCACGTCGAGGTGAAACAAAGGCGGCGGTGGCCTAGGGGATAGCGTGCTAGACTTTGAAACCTATGCTAGCGGGTTCAATTCCCCTTGCTGCAGAATTTTTTGCTTTTTTTGGAAACATTTCAAAAAACACTTCTGATAATTATTTTAGTGGTTTTAAAGCAGTAGTTAGCTCTATAGAAGCTCTTTAGAAACTCTTTAGAAGCTATCTAGAGGCTATTTAGAAGCTATTTAGAAGCTATCTAGAGGCTATCTAGAGGCTATTTCGACGCTATCTAAAGGCTATCTAGAAGCTATCTAGAGGCTATTTAGAAGCTATCTAGAAGCTATCTAGAAGCTATTTAGACGCTATTTAGCTATTTAGAAGCTATTTAGCTATTTAGAAGCTATTTAGAAGCTATCTAGCTATTTAGCTATTTAGCTATTTAGAAGCTCTTTAGAAGCTATTTAGAAGCTATCTAGAGGCTATCTAGAGGCTATTTAGAAGCTATTTAGAAGCTCTTTAGAAGCTATTTATAAGCCAAAGTTTTTCTATAGCTTTCAGAGACATTTACGAGTGCTTTACTTACAAATGCCTTTAGCAACGACAAAAACAGATAGGCAATGATTGGTAACACTATTGGTTTTTAGACATTAAAAGCATTAAAGACAGTAAGTTTTTTTTATACTTCTAACAAAAAAGAAAAAAATTTTGCGGCAAGCGGAATTGAACCCGCGACCAAGAATGGCAGAGGTTTCGGAGTCTAGTAGACTCTCCGCTAAGCCGCCACTGCTTTTGCTGCCTAGGTTATAGGTGAGGTGACGTTTTTGCCAAAAATTACAAATAGAATTCTACGTAATGTGCATTCCCATTACAGCGATAAATGCCATAAATCCTTTTCATAAGCTTCCATTTTCAAAGCTCCCATTTTCAAAGCTCCCATTTTCAGCGGCTACCCATTGCACAGAGTTATCGTATCTTTTCGGGCGTGGAATCGTCTTTAAATTCAAGCTAAATGACGAGGACAGGAAAATGATCGATTTGATGTCAAAAATGTGGACAAATTTTGTGAAATATGGGTGAGTTTGGGGAAAAAATTGAAAAAAAAACTTTTCTCTTATTACTTTTTCAAGTTCTAGCCTTGAAAGCGATTTTATTTATAATTTTTTTTCAAAATGAGAACTTTATCTATTAGATTAACAATCTGTTGTCTTTTCTTTGTCATATTTAACTAACAGATGGCAAAAGGAATACCCATTACGTAAAAGGTAGCAAAAGGAAAGAACTGGCTGCTGAACTTCATAAACTTGCTACTTGCTGCTTCATAAACTAGCTGCTTGCCGCTCTAGTAAAGCAATACGCGGCAATCCAGCGTACTCAACAGTAATAAGTCCAGCATACTCAACAAGTCCATTACAAGCTGTCTATTGAGATTGTTAACTTAAACATATAGTAATCTAACCTCTTTAACCTATTTACAAGCCTTGAAAGCGATTTTATTTATAATTTTTGTTCAAAATGAGAACTTTATCTATTAGATTAACAATCTGTTGTCTTTTCTTTGTCATATTAATCTAATAGATGGCAAAAGGAATACCCATTACGTAACAGATGGCAAAAGGAAAGCACTAGCTGCTGAACTTCATAAACTTGCTGCTTGCCGCTCTAGTAAAGCAATACTCAGCAATACAGCCTACTCAACAGTAACATACTAGCTGCTTGCCGCTCTAGCAAAGCAATACTCATCAATACAGCCTACTCAACAGTAACATACTAGCTGCTTGCCGCTTGCCGCTCTAGTAAAGCAATACGCAGCAATCCAGCATAGCATACATCCAGTAAAATACTCAACAAGTCCATTACTTAGATGTCTATTGAGATTGTTAACTTAAACATATAGTAATCTAGTAATCCAGTAATCTAGTAATCTAGTAATCTAGTAATCTAGTAATCTAGTAATCATATAAACAATATAATACCATTTTCCAGTAACCCTAACGGCCCTTATGAAGACTCAACTGTTTTCGATTTTCTCTGGGAGCCGAGCTCGGAAGGAAACAATTTCAGGTAAAAATTTGACAAGAAAAGAAGCCATTAATAGAAATTAATAGAAATTACAATAAAAATTGACAAATTGACAAATTTATTGACAAAAGTCGATTTTCGGAGAGGGGCTTGAACCCTCGACCTTCTGCTTTCCGAAATTGCTCTCGATTGAATTGCTCTAACCACTCCTTTCCAGTCATTTATCGATCACGAACAAATGCCAAATGTTGGAGGAATTTCAAGAGAATCGCTTCGAATTCTGGAGAAATTTGCGAATCGCCGCGAAAAGTGCATAGAGATTCAAAAGGATTTCTCAATTACAATTCTATTTTCTTAAACATTCTGTCTTTTCTTAAACATTCTATGTTTTCTTAATCATTCTGTGTTCTCCCCAATGCCATTACGTTTTCTATCTCTTCTCTAGCTCACTAAAGTTCTCTAGAGTGGCAAAGAGTGGCAAACTGATTTCTTACACCGAGCGTGAACATCTAGGTATTCCTTCTTGTTCTAGGTATTCCTTCTTGCTTGAATACTTTCATTTTTGACTGAAGGACTGACTGACTGAGACATTGTAGGCCTGTAGGTGTACTGTAGTTTGAACTCACTTTGTCATATACATACTAATGTTTAATCTTAATTGCTTACTGTAAGCTTACTGTAGGCCTGTAGGTGTACTGTAAGCCTACTGTAGGCCTGTAGGTGTACTGTAAGCTTACTGTAGGCCTGTAGGTGTACTGTAGGCCTACTGTAGGCCTGTATGTGTACTGTAGGCCTGTAGGTGTACTGTAGGCTTACTGTAGGCCTGTAGGTGTACTGTAAGCCTACTGTAGGCCTGTATGTGTACTGTAGGCCTGTAGGTGTACTGTAGGCTTACTGTAGGCCTGTAGGTGTACTGTAAGCTTACTGTAGGCCTGTAGGTGTACTGTAAGCCTACTGTAGGCCTGTATGTGTACTGTAGGCCTGTAGGTGTACTGTAGGCTTACTGTAGGCCTGTAGGTGTACTGTAAGCTTACTGTAGGCCTGTAGTTGTACTGTAAGCTTACTGTAAGCGTACTGTAAGCTTACTGTGCTTACTGTGCTTACTGTAGGCTTACTGTAAGCTTTAGGACTTTTGATTGCCTAGTCATTTGACGGGAAGAATTTCGAACAAAAAAAAAACGAAAACGGGTACATTTCTCTGTGTTTTAGTCGAAATGAAACGAAATAAAATGTAATTTTTTTTGAAAAACCAATGCACAAACACTTCTAAAGGATTGTTTTTGTAAATTGCAAGAAAAAAAATGATTTCTTAGGCACAACAGAAAAGAAAAAAAGTGGCTATGAGTGAATGAAGATGTGAAATTTCATTTTAAAAACATCTTTTCAGCTTATGGCTTTGTTTTGAAATCAATGGAAATTGAAAAAAAAAAAACAGTGATGGAAAAGCGTTTATACAGACAATCAAAAAGCACTTCCTTTAGATTTAGAAGAATATTTACGGCAAAATCGGTCCGCGGATTGTGGTGAGATTGGGCAGCTTGATCGACGTCGAAACACTAAATTTTCTTATTAATGAAAGGATTCTCTTATCACTTTAGAAGAATATTTATGGCAAAAGTCGATAAGGCTCTGTTTTGTTGTTGTTTTGCATTGTTTTGCGCATTGTTTTGCATTGTTCTGCCCGCTTTGCTCAGCGCGCTTTCCTCTGCGCGCATTGTTCTGCCCGCTTTGCTCTGCGCGCATTTTTTTGCCCGTTTTGCTCAGCGCGCTTTCCTCTGCGCGCTTTCTTCTGCCCGTTTTGCTCAGCGCGCTTTGCTCTGCGCGCATTGTTCTGCCCGTTTTGCTCGGCGCGCTTTCCTCTGCGCGCTTTCTTCTGCCCGCTTTGTTCTGCGTGCTTTCCTCTGCCCGCTTTGTTCTGCCCGCTTTGCTCAGCGCGCTTTCCTCTGCGCGCTTTCTTCTGCCCGCTTTGCTCTGCGCGCTTTCCTCTGCCCGCTTTGTTTTGCCCGCTTTGCTCAGCGCGCTTTCCTCTGCGCGCATTGTTCTGCCCGCTTTGCTCAGCGCGCTTTGCTCTGCGCGCATTGTTCTGCCCGCTTTGCTCAGCGCGCTTTCCTCTGCGCGCTTTCTTCTGCGCGCTTTGCTCTGCGCACCTTCCTCTGCCCGCTTTGCTCTGCGCGGATTGTTCTGCCCGCTTTGCTCAGCGCGCTTTCTGCGGCTTTTTTCTGGGTGCTTTCTTCTACCCGCTTTGTTCTGCGCGCTTTCCTCTGCCCGCTTTGTTCTGCCCACTTTGCTCAGCGCGCTTTCTTCTGACGCTTTCCTCTGGCGATATTTTTGAGAAGAAATAAACCAAATTGTTGAAAACAATCTAGAGAATCGATTTGTAAGACCCACGGAGAAGTGGGAAGAGTCGGAGTGGTGAGGGATGGCGTCGAAACATGCGCACATTTCAACGTTTGAAGCATTTTCTTGTCTCTAGCAGATACCTAAAGCAAAAAGTGACAATATTGAATAGTTTTACAATCTTTTTTAAAGCTTTGAATTGACTAGGCTTCGTTAGACAATCATTAGCTGTTCAATGATTGTCTAACAAAGCTCTAGAAATTTTTGAGCTTAATTGAAGCGATTAACGCTTCTCCTATCGATCTTAACTCGAGGTATGGAAATCGAATCGACTTGTAATTGTTTTTAAAAGAATCTTCATTAAATTTGGTTATAGAAAAGTGAAATTTTTCTATAGTCAAAATGGCACTTTAGCGCACTTTTCTGTTTTACTCTATAACTCGACTTCCAGTAATCAGATCGAGTTAAGGTTGGTTTTAAAATGATCTTTATTAAATTTGGCTATAGAAAAGTAGGATTTGTTTTGTTTACTCATGCATAAGAACATAGAGAAAATTTGTGTCAAAGTTGAACGACTTACTTGCAAAAGTTGATCAACTTAGATGGTCTATAACTCGAGGTATAGACGCTGAATCAACTTATGGTTGGTTTTAAAAGAATCTTCATTAAATTTGGTTATAGAAAAGTAGAACTTGTTTTGTATACTTATTCATAAAAACATCGAGAAAAATCGTCTTGAAGAATCGTGCGCTAAAGTGCTATTTTTCTATAGTCAAAATGGCACTTTAGCGCACTTTTCTGTTTACTGTTTTACTTTTAACTGTGTTGTTTTACTCTATAACTCGATTTCCAGTAATCAGATCGACTTAGGGTTGGTTTCAAGCTAAGCTAAGCGAAAGTTAAGCGAAAGCTAAGCTAAACGAAAGCTAAGCGAAAGCTAAGCGAAAGCTAAGCGAAAGCTAAGCGAAAGCTAAGCGAAAGCTAAGCGAAAGCTAAGCGAAAGCTAGGCGAAAGCTAAGCGAAAGCTAAACGAAAGCTAAACGAAAGCCAAAAGCTATAGTAATCCTCAAAAATATAGAAAACAGTATAAATTTAAGGAAAAATCTAGTAAATCTAGTAATCTGGTAAATCTAGTAATTTTCTATTGGTAAATTCTAGTAGAAAAACTACCTTATTCCAGCGGGGTGAAAGTCCTCCAAGGGACAAACAAGTCGATGTCACAAGCTTCGAATTTGAGCCATTTGTGCTCTTCACAAGAAATCCTAGAGAAATTAAAGAAATAAAGCATTTCTTTATCACTTATAGATGATTATCTCTTCAAAACGCACCACTCAACAGATAGGTGCCCTTTTTGGTGAGATGAAGAGAGCAATTCTTTCCCTTTCCACTATTCTCAACGATCAACTTCTTCGGTAGAGTCTTGTCACCCTAAAAGAACTCGTTTTCATTTGTTTTCTTTTTCAAATTCGATTGAAAATCTATTTACTTACCTTATAAACGTGTAAATGTTTCAGAGTATACTCCTTTAGTTTCTTCTCTTCATCAATTGTTCTCACCGAGAGAATCTTGGCTTTCGAGACTGAAATGGGAATTTGAGAAGGTTTGATAAGGTTTGAGAAGGTTTGAGAAGGTTTGAGAGGCTTTGAGGAGCTTTGGGAGGCTTTGAGGAGCTTTGGGAGGCTTTGAGGAGCTTTGGGAGGCTTTGAGGAGCTTTGGGAGGCTTTGAGGAGCTTTGATAGGCTTTGAGAAGGTTTGAGGAGCTTTGGGAGGCTTTTCTTAATGTTTAGTGGTTTAGAAAAAGCTATTAGAAAGCACAAAAGATACTGTTCACTTCTTGATTACATTACCCGTTTCTTACAAGGGAAAGACAAGCACTTGCTGGCTTTTGGAACGACACTAAACCCATCTTTAGAATCATCTTATAGAATCGACTACGCTGATTCCGAATCGGCTTTCAGTTTTTGCCCTCAACGCCTGTAACGCGAGATATCTGGCTTAGAAGTTTTGATCTCTACTTGAGGCCTATCGCTGTGTGGCCGAGAGGATAGTGCTCTCGGTTGCGAGACTTCTTTTTATCCTGGTTCGATTCCTCTCACGTCAAACTTCTTTGCTTTTTCTTTTTATATAAATCAAATCAAATCAAATCTTTTTGATAATTAAAAAGCAACTTTTTATGGGAGCAGACAAGCTTCTAGACTGCTTTTAAAGTTAAGTTGACAACTTTCGCATATCGCATCGCATTCCAATTTCCTGTAAACAGGTGCAAGAGCTTGCAAAGAGGAAGTGCTACTAAAAATACTTGAAATATCAAGGAAGTTTTAGGGTAGCAATGAGGATTTTCACGTGAACGAAGCTGTGGATTGGCTGAATTTTATGTAGAAGCTAGGGATCTGGAGCTAGGATTGGACTCTGAGATGAAGCCTGGCTGAATTTTATGTAGAAGCTAGGGATCTGGAGCTAGGATTGGACTCTGAGATGGAGCCTGGTCCTGGTCTTCTCTGGTCCTGATTGTGAGCAGGAAGGGCACAGTTTTAAAGTTGTCAACTGAAAATTGTTGACAATTGTTGACAATTGTTGGCTGTTGTTGGCTGTTGACAACTTTTAAACTTGTCAACAGCCAACGATTGGCCTGGTACTTTCAAAAAAAAATCGTAAAAGTGACACCCAATTACAATAGAAGCAATTTACACAAATTGCAAATAATTAAACATAATTGGGAAACTTTTTGGATGCTAATGTTAGAAAATGAGCTGTGTTAGGCATCGAAATTGGCCCTCAATCAATGCGAAAGCGAAAACTCACTCCAACCCAACGCACAAGCCAGGTTCTTGAAGCCGCGGGGCAGCACTTGGCAGCTACACATCTCCCCAACGGGTCCAATCGCGGTTCCATTGCCCGTTGACATCGTCGTGGAAACATTTCCAACGACTGATGTTGTCGTTAACATCGTCGTCGTCGATTTTGTCACATTTTTGTCACCCTGCAGTCCATTTATGGCCAAGGCAACCAATAGAAAAATGTAGAACGTCATCTGTTCAAATCATGTTTTTAGATGTATTAAGAAGATAAAAAAGAAGATAAAACAATTGTTTAGCTATTCTTTATTGATGTAGAGACAAGTTTTTCAAGAAAAAATCCTACTAAAAACACTTTCGAACAGTGTAAAATGGTATTTAATGTAAAATTATTGGATTGGTGAATTGAAAACTGCCGACTATTGTCATATGTGACAGTTTGAGCACTTTCTTCAAAAGAAACCCATTTTGGTGTCAATGGAAAAGTTGTAGAGAATCAAAAATCAAGCTTATATCCAAATTTTCAGAACGATTCAAAAACTGGTTTTCAAGAGATGCGAAATTTACGAATTTTCACAAAACTTGAAACAAAACTTGTATTTTAAGCGAAACTACTAAGTGTATCTTTTTGAAAATTTGTCTATAAGCCTAATTTTTGATTCTCTACAACTTTTCTATTGACACCAAAATGGGTTTCTTTTGAAGAAAGTGCTCAAACTGGGACAGATGAACATCTCCAGTCCTCCATTTTTGAGTCTCACACTTGTCTCACACACTTGTACTGGGAGTTGCCGGATAGCAAGACGACCGTTAATGCAATCAAATACAGCGAACAGTTGGGGAAGGTGAATGAATCCCTGAAGAAGAATAGGCCCTCCAAGTCAAAGATCGTTCTCATCCACGACAACGCGCGTGTTGCGAAACTGCCTCGCTCTAAAATAAGTAGGCTTGTTTGGGAAACTTGGCACATTCCCCATACAGTCCGGACCTCGCCCCTTTTGATTACTATTGATTCCGGATCATGAGTAGCTTGCGGGAGAGCTTGCGGGAGAGCTTGCGGGAGAGCTTGCGGGAGAGCTTGCGGGAGAGCTTGCGGGAGAGCTTGCGGGAGAGCTTGCGGGAGAGCTTGCGGGAGAGCTTGCGGGAGAGCTTGCGGGAGAGCTTGCGGGAGAGCTGGCGGGAGAGCTTGCGGGAGAGCTTGCGGGAGAGCTTGCGGGAGAGCTTGCGGGAGAGCTTGCGGGAGAGCTTGCGGGAGAACACTTCGATCTGGAAGAAGCAGTCAAAAATTGGCTTTGAAAGTTTTTCGATTCAAAACCAGAATCCTACTACGAAAGAAGGAATCCGCAAATTGCCTGTAAAATGGGCAGAAGTCGTCAATAATAATGGGAATTGTTTGAAATGAATTGATGGTTTGATGTTGAATAAATTTGAGTTCAAAGTCCGGCAGTTTTCAATTCACCAACCCAATAAAACAATTGTTTAACTATTCTTTATTGATGTAGGGACAAGTTTTTCAAGAAAAAATCCTACTAAACACACTTTCGAACAGTGTAAAATGCTATTTAATGCTAGAGCATTCAATTAAAACTAAAAACTCATTGAATTTCAAAGAATGAGTTGAGCTTTTCTTTGAAATATTTTAACGAGGAAATGCTCTAGCTCTAGCAAGCACAAAAGAGGTTCAAAATGAACATAGAAATTGCATAAAAAGCTTCGAGAGTTTAGCCTTTTTATACAGTTTCTATGTTAGTTTCCATGTTTTAATTTTGGTTTATTTTTGGTGAAAATTTCTTTGTGAAAAGTGCAATATTCGAGCGCTAAATGGCAAAAATGAAAAATTTAGGCTTGAAAATAACAAATTTTCAAAACATATGTTGTTTTTATTTTGTCTACTTTTTATTTTGAGTGCAAAATAGGTGTGGCAAGAGTGGCTGTTGATTTCTCGATAGATTATCGTGCATAGTTACATATTGAAAGCTTTTTATAGAAAACTTTTCATAAAAAGTAATACAACAATACAAAACGCTCATTTATTTCCGGCTCAACTTAATAGAATCAGCATTTTCTTGTCATTTTTATTGAACAAACACGTGCGAACACCACAGTGTAGCCACCAAGTTCTCGGTTTCTCGGTTTATAACCAAAAATAGCTGCATATTACTGTATTGGCGACTGTCGAATACCCGAATGATACCTAAAAATTACACATTCAAACAGTGGGCATAAAACCCGGATATTTTTCTTGTATTACACAGCGAGAAGTTGATCAGCCCATCGAGTTGACTTTCCCGCATCGATGTGCTCAGTACAGAGTGCGTCCAAATGTTCCCGTTGATCGGCCCATCGAGTTGACTTTCCCGCATCGATGTGCTCAGTACAGAGTGCGTCCAAAAGTTCCCGTTGATCGGCCCATCGAGTTGACTTTCCCGCATCGATGTGCTCAGTACAGAGTGCGTCCAAAAGTTCCCGTTGATCGGCCCATCGAGTTGACTTTCCCGCATCGATGTGCTCAGTACAGAGTGCGTCCAAATGTTCCCGTACTTGCATTTTTGGTAATTTTAAATAAAAGATACGATTTTAAAAGTAAGAAATTCGAATTCCTCGCGAAAAACTGATTTAGAAAACAATTCTGGTTAATTTATAAGTGCAACGATATTTAAGACAAGTGATTGAGAAGAGGGTACGCTCAGGGGCGCTTTGGTCGCACACTAAGAAGTAGGTTATGTGGCGGATAGCCACTAAAAAGTTACTTAACTCTGACAGCCCAAAAATTGGAAAAGTATTGCGGAAATCCGTGCGCCTTCATTCTATTTTATATTCATTCGCCTTCATTCCAACGCCACCTTATCATCGATTTAGTGGAATGCTTTAAAATTGTTAAAAGCATTCATCTCGACCCCTTTTTTTCTGGTCTCTTTGAATTCGGCTCTCTACGGGGCCCAGAAGGAGGCATCTTCTCATACGCCAACCTTCTATTTCCTCTAAAAGCCCGCACAGTTTCTTTTTTAATCGAGTTATCAAATTGTGGGCCCTTTTACCCCTTTTACCAAATTTGTACCGAAAAGGAAACAAATCTGTAGAGAAAAGGAAACAAATCTGTAGAGAAAAGGAAACAAATCTGTAGAGAAAAGGAAACAAATCTGTATCGAAATGGAACCAAATCGTGATATTCCCACCTTGGCTAGATTTAGAGCCGCAATTTCGGCAGAAATCCAGATTTGAATTGAAGTAGTTGAAATTTTGGTTTCAACTACTTCAATTCTTTTTTGTGCTGAATTGAAGCTGAATAATTAGTGTTTTATTTCATCAGGAGATCATTATTTCATCATTCAGCAGTTTTTTGATTGTTCAAAAAGCAATTCACCGTTCAATCATTGCTTTAAACCGCTAGCAGCAACATAAACCAAATCGACTTTGATGTCAATGTTCTGTACTTTGAGCTCTAAACGGCTTAGAGATCTCACCATTAGCCCCTTTTCTCCACTCAATTGAAAAGCTTCATATGTCGCTCATCAAATGCACCTGTGCAGGTGAAAAAGAAAAGAATTCGCTTTCAAATAATCACTACTGTTGATTAGTTCCAAGTTCTTAAACTTTTTCTTACTTTATCTTGAAAAGTCTATTAACTAGTATCTTTACTGTATCTATTGAGCAATCTAGTATCTTTACTTTATCTATTAAGATGAACCTTCAACTTCTAATGTACATTGACATGAGAATTGCGGTGAGAGATCGAATGGAAACATTCATTTATCTCAGCTATGCAATCGAGATGGGTTGCTATCTGACAACCTGTGTTACAGTCCCGCTCGTGCATTTGATCTTCGGAAAAACATCGGTAATTTGTTTGCTATTAAACAGGCTATTAAACAACCAAGGCAAACCAAGTCATGCTATTAAACATTAATTCCTGTCAAAGTCCTGCATTTACAAGCTTCCTTACAAGCTTACAAACTTTCAGCTCTTCCATCCAAACATTCAATTCATTTTCCTGATCATCCTATACAGCACCTATCCATTTATCGTTGCTCGAGCTGGTGTTCTGTATCTAGAAAGTCAAACGAACTCTACTTGCGAAACATACGCAGAAAGTAGGAGATCAGAACGAGAAAGTTTCATTGACTCTTCAGGCTTTGATAAATGCCCGACCGCTATTATTGGATTTTCGCTGTTTCTCGGTGCACTCTACTTGTTTAGGCCAGGTACAGCTGCCGAAATGACAACGTAAAAAACTAACAAAAAATATTGGGTTGGTGAATTGAAAACTGCGGGACTTTGAACTAAAATTTATTCAACATAAAACCATCAATTCATTCCAAATAATTCCCATTATTATTGACGACTTCTGCCCATTTTACAGGCAATTTGCGGTTTCCTCTTTCGTAGTAGGATTCTGGTTTTGAATCGAAAAACTTTCAAAGCCAATTTTTGACTGCTTCTTCCAGATCGAAGTGTTCTCGCGCAAGCTCTCCCGCAAGCTCTCCCGCAAGCTCTCCCGCAAGCTCTCCCGCAAGCTCTCCCGCAAGCTCTCCCGCAAGCTCTCCCGCAAGCTCTCCCGCAAGCTCTCCCGCAAGCTCTCCCGCAAGCTACTCATGATCCGGAATAAATAGTAATCAAAAGGGGCGAGGTCCGGACTGTATGGGGAATGTGCCAAGTTTCCCAAACAAGGCTATTTATTTTAGAGCGAGTCAGTTTCGCAACACGCGCGTTGTCGTGGATGAGAACGATCTTTGACTTGGAGGGCCTATTCTTCTTCAGGGATTCATTCACCTTCCCCAACTGTTCACTGTATTTGATTGCATTAACGGTCGTCTTGCTATCCGGCAACTCCCAGTACAAGTGTGTGAGACAAGTGTGAGACTCAAAAATGGAGGACTGGAGATGTCCCATCTGGAGGACTGGAGATGCCCCAGTTTGAGCACTTTCTTCAAAAGAAACCCATTTTGGTGTCAATGGAAAAGTTGTAGAGAATCAAAAATTAGGCTTATAGCCAAATTTCCAAAAAGATACACTTAGTAGTTTCGCTTAAAATGCAAGTTTTGTGAAAATTCGTAAATTTCGCATCTCTTGAAAACCAGTTTTTGAATCGTTCTGAAAATTCGGATATAAGCTTGATTTTTGATTCTCTACAACTTTTCCATTGACACCAAAATGGGTTTCTTTTGAAGAAAGTGCTCAAACTGTCACATATGACAATAGCCGGCAGTCTTCAATTCACCAACCCAATAGGTTGAGATTAGCCTTGATTTGACGAGAAGTCAATGTCCAATTTGAGGATTCGGAGCCGGCCTTCGGTTTAGTTTCGGAAGGGGAGAGGGAAGGGGGTTATGTAAAAGCCCTGCGCCAGACGACGAGCGATTACGCGGCCGCACAAAGAACACACAGAACACACAAATTTTAAGCTAAACTACTAAGTGGAATTAGGATATAAGCTGAAAAAGTTCCTTTATTTATATAACACTCTAACTTGTCTTCTCTCTTAAAACATTGACTTTTTTTCCCCAATGCTCCTTTCAGCGTTATTTGTTGTCATGCTAATTGAGCGAATCATAGCGATGAGAATGGTGGCCACATATGAAACAAGATATTACCGATCGTCCATCATTTCAATGTCAATACTTGCTGGAATTCTGGCTTTAATTGGCTCTACAGCTTTTACATTTTGTAAGCAATAAAAGAATCGAAATTCGACAGTAAAAGAATCGAGAAAGACTTGAGACTTGCAGCGCTTCTTCCGCGATTGGTCGTTCTCTTTATCGTTCTCTGTCTCAGTCTACCAAGTGCCTTTGTAAAGCTTTATTTACCTTTTGAGTGAAAGCTTTTTACTCGCATAGATGATTTTGTGGATGATTCGAATGACAAGCCGTCGAAAGAGGGCTCTTCTTTTAAAGGACTCCGCCGAGTACACTTTGAGCAAGAGTTATCAGTTGAGAGAGAATCACAGATCGATGCAGGTGAGGGGAGGAAAAGGTGGCGCGCTTCACACACAAAAAACTCTTCCGGTTTTGTCAGCGATTTTCTGGGTCTATATCATTGCAATTTCGACATATATGGCTCAATTTTATGCTCATATGATGGCCGTCTCGTGGACGACGAGAAATATTATTGGAATGGCGATGGGAGTGCAAATGGGAGCGTACATTGTAAACTATTTAAAACAAAAATCATTGAGCGTTTAGAAATTTTGCATTTCTGCCTTTTCTGACAATCGGCTTGAAGGGACAAGAGTTGCATTTGGCAAAAAGTACTCTGATCGAGAAAGTTTTTCTATGTTTGACAAGGTAAAGAGATTTTGGATTTCGTAGTTTCCGGGTCTTTTGAAAGAATCCGGGTCTCTTGAAAGAATCCGGGCCTTTTGAAAGAATACGGGTCTCTTAAAAGAATCCGGGGATTTTGAAAGAATCCGGGTCTCTTGAAAGAATACGAGTCTTTTGAAAGAATCCGGGTCTCTTGGAAGAATCCGGGTCTTTTGAAAGAATCCGGGTCTTTTGAAAGAATCCGGGTCTTTTAAAAGAATCCGGGTCTCTTCAAGAATCCGGGTCTCTTGAAAGAGTCCGGGTCTCTTGAAAGAATCCGGGTATTTTGCTCACCACTCTTTGAAGGCCTATAACTTTGTCTAGAGATCATATTTTTGCTAACTTTTTATATCATTGTACAGCTGAGATTTCAGGCTTTCAAATGATACCAAATACAGATTGATTAGTTAATTGAGTCCAAGATCCGAGTCCAAATTGACTCCAAATCAGAGCCAACTCTGAGCAAATGAGACCTATCCAACTTGGATGTCGTGTCGCGTTGTTTTCATGGGAATGAAAAATGCAGTTAAGCTCTATTTGGTATCATTTGAAAGCCTGAAATCTCCTCTGTACAATGATATAAAAAGTTAGCAAAAATATGATCTCTGAACAAAGTTATAGGCCTTCAAAGAGTGGTGACCCGTTGAAAATACCCAAAAACTAAGCAAGAGTCGAAATTTTCAATTATTTAAAAGTTTTAAGCGTTTAGAAAAACCGAACCTGATCGAAAAGTCAAGAATAAAATTTTCGTGCATGGAAAGGCGAGTTTGTTTCTACCAGCTTTGACTTTTATCAGCTTCATGCATTGGGCAATTGTAGCAAAAGCTGCGTGGATACCATTCATTTTGGAAACCATTTATTTTGAAAACCAAACTTGACTTTTTTAATGTTTTCAGAGCTCGTTTCAGAGCTTCTTTTATTTGCATTTAGAAGAGCTTTAACTTATTTTTATTTAGAAGCTGTACACAGGTGCAAATCAAGAAGATTACTTTGTTCAACTCGAAGCCCAATGGGCGACTCCGACACCGAGATCTCGATGAATTTTTGCCATTTGTAATAAAGAAATATAATAATATTGGGTTGTCCAGTTATGAATGCGCGTTTTTACTACTTTGTAAATTTCTCAAGATATCGAATAGATGTATATGAGTGTTATATATCATTCGAAAGCTGAAGATCTCCTCTACATTTTGGAATAAAAAAGTTTTTGAATTCATTCAACTTTTTGGGAAATTGACTGCACAAAGGGAGAGGTCGTTTTCGAAAAAAACCCATTTCAGCTTAGCTATTCCTCAAGTTTTATGGTGTAAAATAGCCGCCCAGAAAAGAAAAGAAAAGCAAAAAGATGCTCTGAAATTGGTATATTTAAAAAAAAAGTTGTATTGATATATCTATTGGCCAAACATCAAACGGTTAACTCAATTTGAGCGGAGCCAAAACTTGATCCAAAGGCACCCTTCCATTTTTTGGCCACCTCTTCTTCTGTGCAGTCAATTTGCCCAAAAGCTGAACAAATTCAAAAACTTTTTGTATCAAAATGTAGAGGAGATCTTCAGCTTTCGAATAATACTCATATAAATCTTTTTCTTGATTTCGGTATCTTGAGAAATTTACAAAAAATTAAAAAACGCGCATTCATAACTGGACAACCCAATATAATAATAAAATATAATAAAAAAAGCTAAAAGTCAAAAAAGAAACAGTAAAAGTTCTGCGAAGTTTATAGGCGAAATTTATAGGCGTTAATGAATAGGTTTGTAATTTTATTTAGATGTGTATAGGTGCGTAGTCAGGGACTCTTTATTCAACTTTGAAATCGGGTAGATGTATGGGCAGCCTTGACTCGTTCAGTAAATGTATGCAGATCTATCTAAGTGTAGCTTTATCAATCATTAACTTGTTTATGAAAGAGTGCGAAGGCACGCTTCATGCATTGGGCTTCATGCATTGGGCTTCATGCATTGGGCTTCATGCATTGGGCTTCATGCATTGGGCTTCATGCATTGGGCTTCATGCATTGGGCTTCATGCATTGGGCTTCATGCATTGGGCTTCATGCATTGGGCTTCATGCATTGGGCTTCATGCATTGGGCTTCTGCATTGGGCTTCGATGGGCTTCATGATTGGGCTTCTGCATTGGGCTTCTGCATTGGGCTCATGCATTGGGCTTCATGCATTGGGCTTCATGCATTGGGCTTCATGCATTGGGCTTCTGCATTGGGCTTCTGCATTGGGCTTCTGCATTGGGCTTCTGCATTGGGCTTCTGCATTGGGCACGCTTCATGCAAGAGTTCCTGGAAGCGCCAATCTTTTTTACTGGACATGGAAAAATGACTTGATAAAGCCAAGAATTGAGTGCGTAAGAAAGGATTTTTTGTTTTCTTGTTTAGCACAAAGTACAGTCGAGCTTTGATATAACGATCTTCAATATAACGAATACTTTGATATAACGAACACTTTTTGAATACGTTACCAAATAGTTCATTTCCATATAGCGAATTATTTGCTAAAATGTGGGTAAAGCAAAATGAAAATTTCTGCTTTTCGACTGAATATCTAATTTTTTTTACTGAATTTTAAATCCTTTACTTGCTTACTTCCTGTAACGTTTTTTTATCTTAAATGTGCTTAATATAAAGTTTCCTTTTTTATTCTTTAATTTTTGAGAACATTCTTATAATTTAGGTGATGGAGTGAGGAAAGTCAACGTGTCGATCAATCGATTTGACTTTGAAGAAGAGGATACTCGACGATCAACTTCGAAAGGAACGGCTGAATTGGCGAAGGATTTCGAATTGCCGCGATCAACAATTCCGGTCATTATGCCGGTCATTATGGAAGCGATCGATGAAAGAGGAGCTGCAAAAATAGCAATAGAAGCCGAGGAAATACGAATCAATCGAAGAGTCTGTGCTTATTTGACTGAAGTAAATGCGATGCCAAAACGAATGTGTTGACAGCAATCTGCTTTGAGAGAAAGCAATGGAGTTGGCAAGCTTGAAATGAGAAAAGTCAACGTGTCGATCAATCGATTTGGCTTTGAAGAAGCGAATACTCGATCAAACAACTTCGAAAGGCACGACTGAATTGGCGAAAGACTTCGAATTGCCGCAACCAACCATTTCAACAATTCTTAGGAGGAAGCCGGGCATTATGGAAGCGATCGACGAAGGAGGAGCTGCAAAAATGGAAAAATAGCAATAGAAGACGAGGAAATACGAATCAATCGAAGAGTCTGTGTTTATTTGACTGAAGCAAATGCGGTGCCGAAACCAATTTTTTGACGGCAATCTGCTTTGAGAGAAAGCAATGGAGTTGGCAAGCTTGGAAGGAATTAGCGATTTTCAAGCGAGTAACGGTAATAACAATCCTTAGGAAGAGATGGAGGCAGTCTATGAAGGAGGAGCTGCAAAAAGAGCACGACTAAAGACGAGTAAATACGAATCAACCGAAGAGGCTGTGCGTATTTGGAGCAAATGCGAAGTCAAAACGAATGTGTTGACAGCAATCTGCTTTGAGAGAAAGCAATGGAGTTGGCAAGCTTGAAATGAGAAAAGTCAACGTGTCGATCAATCGATTTTGCTTTGAGGAAGAGAATACTCGACAATCAACTTCGAAAGGAACGGCTGAATTGGCGAAGGATTTCGAATTGCCACGATCAACAATTCTTAGGAAGAGGCCGGACATTATGGAAGCGATCGATGAAGGAGGAGCTGCAAAAAGAGCACGATTAAAGACAAGGAAATACGAATCGATCGAAGAGTCTGTGCTTATTTGGCTGAAGCAAATGCGATGCCAAAACGAATGTGTTGACAGCAATCTGCTTCGAGAGAAAGCAATGGAGTTGGCATGGATGGAGTTGATGTTGATGGAGTTGGCAAGCTTGGAAGTAATTAGCGATTTTCAAGCGAGTGGCGGTTGGTTGGATAAATTCAAGAAGCGTCACGGAGTTGTTTTTCGCATTCTAAAAGGGGAAGCTGCAGCGATCAACTACGATGATGTCGAAAAGTGAAAAGCCGAAGTGTTGAGGGAACTTTTAGGAATTTGACCCAAAAAACCAGAAACAAGGCCCGAACTAATTTCTTTAATGTTCTTTAGTTCCAACTTGTTGTTGCTAACTTGTTTTCAAATAGTGAATTGGTTCAAAAGCAATGATTATTTATTTCTGTACAACGAATTCGATCAAATTCGATCGAAATTCGTTGTACAGAAATAAATAACCATTGCTTTTTAACCAATTCGCTATTTGAAAACAAGTCTTCGGCCGGTCCCTTGCAGCTCGTTGTATCGAAGTTCGCCTGTACTAACAATACGAGTTTGTAAAAGGTTAGGATCGTGCTGATGTGTCTGTGTCTTTAGCTTGATCTGTATCCAATTTCTAGTTTATCCGAATTTGCTCCCGGTTGTTAGACAAATTTCTCGGATCAGGCTCAGGCTTAGGCTTAGGCTTAGGCTTATTAGGCTTGGACTTAGTGCGTAGGCTAGCGCCTAGCACTAAGTTTATTTGGGTTTGGGCTGAACCCCCATTCTTTGGATCTCAGCGAGTTCTGGGAGCTAAGGCACACCCGTTTGGTGTTGTGCTTGCGCCCCCGCCATAGGAGCATCCTGGCAAATTTTCAGCTCGATTAGGTTTAGGCTTAGGCTTAGGTTTAGACTTAGGCTTTGGCTTAGTCTTTGGCTTTGGCTTAGGCTTAGGCTTAGGCTTTGGCTTAGGCTTAGGTTTAGGCTTAGGCTCAGGCTCAGGCTTAGGCTTAGGCTTAGGTTTAGGCTTAGGATTAGGCTTAGGAACAACTTTGGCATCCGATTCTGAAGTCAAAGTCGATTCTGGATTCTGAACACAGTCCAAGTCTGGGTCCAGGTTGATCTGGTGCATCTGGTGAATTCAATAAGCTGTGTTTTTCTAGTTACCCTCATTTCCGTTCTTTTATTGACACGTTCATGTACACGTAAAGAATAAAACAGAAGAGTACTTGCAAATATTCACCGATTTTTCGAATAATTCAAGAATAAGAGACGGTTCATCGACCCGCTCAACAAAAAGCACCAATAAAGAAATTGGGAAGTTATTTACAACCTGGCAAGAAATTTGTACGAAAAAAAAGGGAATTTTTCCCTAAAAAATCAAAGCCTATAAAGAGATTGAGATAAAGATAAAGATAAAGATTCAATTCTTACATAGTCATATTCTGTTTTCGTCTCTCCTCAACTTTTTTCATGGCTTCCGGCAGAATTGTGTTCAAATCTTTGCCGTATTTATTTGTCCCAGCTCCAACGGCGGCTCGGATCAACATATCCGAGTGTTCTGAATTGGGAATTGTTCAGTTTTTTGGTGATAAATAAAACTACGATTTGTTTCATTAGAAAGGCCATTTATTTTTCTACAAAATAACATTAAAACGGTTTTAAAATGTCTTGTTTTTGCTTTTTTTCAGAGCCTGAATTCAGGTAGTCAAAAATGCGGCTCGATGATACGTTTTAGACACTTTAGCTCAAGGAAACCTATCTTCGTGTCTATAGATAAAAGATAGAGCATCAAAAGTTTGATATATAGGCAAATTTCCAAAGAAATTCGCTAAGCCAAATTCTTCGTAGAGGTTTTTATAGATTTTTACGAAAAACACGTCTCGTTCACTCTTGAATTTGCTCGTAAATGAACCGAAATTGACTTAGAAAGATGGAAATTGAAAAAAACACACTTTTTCTTTAGAAAAAACTATAGATTAATTGGTGAATTAATTGGTAAATTTGTTATTTTTCAACGAAAGTCTGAAAAGAAACGAAAAGACTTTCCGAAAAGCCTAGTCCAAGCTTTAAAAGCTTTCTGGATAACCTACCGTTATCCAGAAAGCCCATAAATACTCTAATAGTACCCCACCCCCCTCGTACAGTCGCGTAGTCGCAAAAGTTTTTTAGTATTTCATTTGTTTTCAAAGCGCCCGTACTTTCAAAAAATGCGTCTTTGATATAGTGTAGCTTTGGAGGCGTTTTTCTCGACACTGGCTTATGCTAAAATATTCGTTTTGGTATCAAAAATAGCTGAAATTCAGGGCTATTTTTTGATACCTTTGCGCGCATTGTAGCATAAACCAGTGTCGAGAAAAATGCGTTCAAAGCTAGACTACACAACACTCCGCACCGTCATTATGGGGGTGGGGTCCATCTACAGTATTTACGGTAATAGATTAACGATTACAAGGCAATAAGCGCTTATTGTATATATTGTACCGTTTAAATTCGTATTTATATTAATATTGATTGTAATAGCGTTTAAATAATACCTTGTAATCGTTTAAAAACTCTAATTAAAAAGCTAAGTACTTTGGAATCGTGGAATGGAAACGTCTAATGCTCAAAAAAGAAGAGAAAAATACAAAATCTGCCGATTTCTATGCAAGAATCGGCAAATTGCAAATTTTGGTTTAGAATTTGGCTCATAAATATACCCTGAAAGGCCTAAATGACAAGATTTTCATGTATTCTTTTTAATTTTATAAAACTCAAAAGCTTTTTTTATGAAACCCAAAAGCTTCTATGCTCTCACCTGGACAAACTTCGGCAATTTGGGGCAAAAAGGAGAGAGCGTGGCGAGCGATGAGGCGATCCTGGCACAACAAAACCGACAAGTAGGCACCAATTATTTGATCGGCTGCCTAAAGTTGACAGGGTTTTACAAATTATTTGATACAATTGATTTGAGCCAATTGATTTGATACAAATGATTTGATAGAAATGACTCGATCCAATTGATTTGATACAAATGATTCGATCCAATTGATTCGAGACAATTGACTCGATCCAATTGACTCGATCCAAATGATTTGATGCAATTGACTCGATCCAATTGACTCGATCGAAATGATTCGATCCAATTGACTCGATCCAATTGATTCTATACAACACAATCAATCCCAAAACCAGTAAACCAGGCAATGCAAAGTCAGCTCAAGTATCAGCTTAGCGCATAAGTCTTTACAGTCCTTTTTTTTCAAATTTTTGTTTCCATAGAAAAGGATCCTTTACCTTTAATTGGTCTATTAACACATCTTTTGCGAAACGGCCGATTTAAACCAGGAAAAAAACCATTTTGCAGAGAAACAATCAAGCTTTTTAATAGTTTTAAATCGAAATTGTTGGTGGTTGCATTATTTTTAGAAGATGTTTGAAAAGAAATTGTAAAGATTTACCGTATTTTCTCTAATAGTAGTGTTTTTTGTGTAACATTTTCAATTGTTGTTTTAAAGAAAATCCGTGAACGGATCGTTCTCAAGTTTCACGGATTTATGTAATCAAATAAGCTCTATCTTTTGCGTCGCCTAAATTGTTGGAGATCTCGAGAACCGCTTATGAGAACCTATCGATGTGGGGTCGGAAAATGTAGCTGACGATGAGATCTTGTGGGGATTAGAGGATTTGGAGCAGCGTAGAGAGGAGGAGTAGTGATTGTGATTGAGGAAGTGATGGTGGTTGTCGAAAGCTCTCGAAGTGCTTGATGGGCACGATGGTTGAGCCGCTCCAACAGCACCAAATGCTTTGAAGCTGCCTCCAGCACTTCATTGGCTCCATCGGTTGAATCCAGCTGTCGCTCCATTACTTCCGAATCCTAACTAAATCTACATACGGTATTCTCTCTAGTAGTACCCCATGCTTTGCCTAAATTCCTCGAAATCTCGAGAATCGCTTATGAGAACCTATCGATGTGGGGTCGGAAAATGTAGCTGACGATGAGATCTGACGATCTGACGATGGATTTGATGAGATCTGACGATCTGACAATGGATTTGATGAGATCTGACGATGGATTTGAGTGTTGAGCTTCTGTTAAAACTTTGAAAGCCGTAAAATCGTCATCAACTCGCCGGGGTGCACTACTATTAGAGAAAATACGATCTACACTAACCTAATGTTTTTTTTGTTTGTTTTTTGCATTGCTTTTCATTGCCAATCTTTGCTATTCATCAATTAAATATGAAAATTTCATTCTGGGGAATTCCTGACCTTAAAAAAAATGAGTATTTTATCGAGTGACTCTCAGAAAAAGAAATTGAGCCTTTGATCTAAGAAATTTTCTTTTAAATGCTTTTAAATGCTTTTAAATGCTTTTAAATCGAATAATCTTAAACCCGTATTGCTGTTTTCTTTGTCTTTCAATAAATTAGAAGAATTGTTTACCGTTTCGTCCTCTCTGATCAAATTGATCGCAGATTGGAAAGCATTTGTCCTCACCGAAACGAAAGGATTCGCAAAAAGAGGCAATAAATATTTTCCATAATGCATTGAAGGTCTAAAAGTCGATTTTGAGTTCCTAGATCACTACTGAAGCTATTCCTAGATCACTACTGAAATTTCTCAAAAAAAAACAAACTTTGCAATTGCTAGCGGCTCTGCGAATTCATTGCTTGGACGATAGGTTTCAAATCGTGATGCGAGACTCATTTTTGATCTGAAAGAGTTTAGGAATCTCTTTATCAAAAAAGAATTAGATAAAGAGAAAAGAGAAAATCAATTTCAAGAGAAAATCGATTGAACAAGAGGAAAAAAACGGGAATTCGATTGAAAAAGGGAAATGCTCGAGAGTTTCTTACTTTAAACAAGCACTTGCTAGGTTTCTCTCTCTTTTTTCTCTTTCCACATCTCTTTTCTCAAATAGTGATTCATTTTGAGCGATTGTGGAAAGGAATTTTTGAAAATGTGATAAAATTGAACAAGTGCGGGAAAAATGAATGGCAAATTTGTGAATGAGAACAACTTTAAGCTTCTCTAATTTAGAGAAGCTTAAAGTTCTCTAAGCTTCTCTAATTTCTGATTTAGAAAAGCCTAAAGTTGCTCTAATATTGGTTAGTGAAGAGAGAAATGAGTACAATGAGTGCAATGAGTACAATTGTACAATTGAATTCAAACAATCACGATTTAAGTAGTGCTTACAGCCCCTTACAGCCCCCTACAGCCCCTAACTAAATATTTAACTAAAATTTAACCGCTTATCTTAGGCTTAAATTAGACTTTCAATGTGCTTTAAGAGATCCAGTTTTAGATCTAATTCTAAGCTAGTCTTTTGAACTAGAGCTAGAGCTAGAGCTAGAGCTAGAACTAGAGCTAGACCTAGAGCTAGAGCTAAAGCTAGAGCTAGAGCTAGACCTAGAGCTAGAGCTAGAGCTAGAGCTGCAGCTAGAGCTAGAGCTAGAGCTAGTCCTACCTAGTTTAAGTCTAATCCTATCTGAGTCTAATTTAAGCCTAAGATAAGCATCAGGATTGTTCTAAAAGCAATTTTTCTGGGTCAGGTCTGGTGAGACAAGTCCTGGACTCGTCAGAAACCAAGCCTGGTCGGACTCGAAAACAAAAGGAAGGGATCGAACCCGAGCAAAAAATGGCCTCGGTTTCGGAAACAAGACTCTTATCCACTACACCACAAGGTCACATCCTGAAAGAGTGAAAGAAGCGATATATACGACCGATCGACGACCGAAGCGATATATACGACCGATCGATTTGAAGAGGTCAAATTAGAGGCCGTCCCTATATAATGCTTCCTTCCTCCCTTCGAATTGTGGCCTCGTGGTGTAGTGGATAAGCGCCTTGTTTCCAAACCAAGCCGTCAAGTCGTTCCTCGGGTTCGATTCCTTCACTTTGTTTTCATTTTATTTTGATGTTTAATCGTTTGAATTAGCTCTATTTCGCTCTATTTCGCTCTATTTCATTCTATTTGGCTCTATTTCACTCTATTTGGCTCTATTTCGCTCCATTTCTCTCTATTTCGCTCTATTTCACTCTATTTCGCTCTATTTCGCTCTATTTCACTCTATTTCACTCTATTTCACTCTATTTCGCTCCATTTTAACTTTACAATAAGTATTATGATATCTTTCATTTCATTTCATTCATTCACTTTATAAATTGCTGCTAATTTTTTTATTATTTGATTTGTTTGAATTAAAAGATGTCATAAAGATGATTAAGATGTTAAAATGATTTGAAGAAGAGAAAATAACATTCTTCTTTATGCACTTTATCACTGAGTGAATATTGACTATGAAACTGATAGTGAAAAGTGAAGGGATGGAGCAGACGAGGCAGAAAACCACATTGAACTGTTTTTGAGCTGATTTGAGCTGATCTATGCTGATTCTAGACTGAATTTGAAAACAATAATTGAAAGCGATAAGTCATTTGGGGTAAAAAAAGGGTGAGAAGTGAGGGAATGGTTGATTGAATGAGTCAGAGTGAAAAATCAGAATGAAAGACTGAGATTGAGAAGTGAGAGAATGGTTGAGTGAGTGAATGGTTCGTGAACCGTGGTCCCTTTTCACTTCATTTCCTCTCTTTCTCTTTCTCTGAAGTCAGGGCGGGGTCGCACTAGCCAAGCAAAAACCAAAGTCTTTCTTTTCTTTTCTTTTCTCTCCATTCACATCTGTTCTCTCATTCACATAAAATTTAGCAAAAAGGGAACAACGCTCAAGGACATCTTATCAAAATGGAATGCTGATTACGAATAAAATGATGATCAGTTAACGATATTGAGATTGATTGGAAAAGGAAGAAATTTTGAGAAAATAGAGCTTCAACCAGGCACTTTATAAAGAGAATTACTTGTTTAAAGGGTACTCTGTTTAAAGGGTACTCCTAAGGAAATTTAGTGGCATTGGGCACCTGTTTTTTAGGTCTCAAGTCTGTTCTTAAGTCTTTTTATCTTTTTTCTAAATTATTCTATTAAAATGCAATGTTTTCTATAAAAAAAACAAAAAAATATTTAAGATTGCTGTTTAAGATTTAAGATGAAATGAGTACTCACGTACTTTTAGAGTACTTTTAGAGTACTTACGTACTTTTAGAGTACTTTTAGAGTAGCCTTTTAAGTTCAATACTTAAAAGTGAACGCTTCAAAGAAGACTTTGGAAAAGTCTTTGAAGAAGAACTCAAATATAAGACGATAGAAGAGTTTTGTTGTACAGACAGATACTGTAATTCTATTCAATTAAGGTATTCAGTATTCAAAAAGATATTCAGTCTACTGTTTGACGATTAACTGATATGTATTTTGGTATTGCTGGAGAGTCTAGGACTTTATCGTACTACAAATTTTACAGTAAAGTCGAACCTCGATAGTGAACGAACCTCATTAGTGAACACCTCGATAGTGACGAGCCTTGTTAGTGAACACCTCGATAGTGAACACCTCCATAGAGAACGAGCCTTGTTAGTGAACACCTCGATAGTGACGAGCCTTGTTAGTGAACACCTCGATAGTGAACACCTCGATAGTGAACGAACCTTGTTAGTGAACACCTCGATAGTGAACGAACCTTGTTAGTGAACACCTCGATAGTGACGAGCCTTGTTAGTGAACACCTCGATAGTGAACACCTCGATAGTGAACGAGCCTTGTTAGTGAACACCTCGATAGTGACGAGCCTTGTTAGTGAACACCTCGATAGTGAACACCTCGATAGTGAACGAACCTTGTTAATGAACACCTCGATAGTGAACGAGCCTTGTTAGTGAACACCTCGATAGTGAACGAGCCTTGTTAGTGAACACCTCGTTAGTGAGCACCTCGATAGTGAACAGTTTTTTCGGATCCCTTTCATAGTTCACTAACGAGGTTTGACTGTACATTGAAATCCGCATCCCAGTGAAGGGCTTGATCAAAGAACTAGCCTCAAAGAACTAGGCTTGAGGCAAAGGGAACTAGGCAAAGGGAAGTAGGCAAAGGGAACTAGGTAAAGAACTTGATCAAAAAATGTATGCAAATTGATGAAATACAACTTTACCTTATTATTATAACGTTAAGATAACTTAATATTTAATCTACGTAAAGCAATCCTCTCAAAACTCAAAAAACGACGCCAAACAAAGTGAACACGGTCAATTAGCCACTCGGAATTTGTCGCTTTCCTTTCTCTGCGCTTTTTTCTTTGAGAAATCCTCTGCTCTCCGCTCTTTTACTGAAAAACTCAAGAAAATCAGTTGATGTGATCACGAGAGTCGTGGTTTATGATCCATAAAAGGGAAAGAGATTTCAAAGATTGAATAAAAAGTTTGAGATTTAATTCTATAAGACTGATTTTTGAGTTTTAGACTATTCTTTATGTTTGTTGGATAAGTAAAAAGAGAACCGTTGTTTGAGAAATCTTATTTAATTCCCTACAATGACAATGAAAATGGTAAGATAACAATTCTTGAAATGCTTTTAAAGAAAATGAATGACAGTTAAGTGAAAGTATTGTTTAGTAAAGGAGTAGCTTACTAATCGGTGAGTTCGTACTAGGATCCGGTAGATATCCCAATCCATACTCTAGTCTAGAATTTCCCTGCAGCTCTTTTCCCAGCAACCCTCCAAGAACTCCCAGCAATCCTCCAAGCAATTCATTTCATTCGTTTCGATTTGTTGAAACAACCGGAAACAAATCCTTTTCTCCGATTTTCCCCCATTCAAAAGCTCTAATTGCACTCATTATTTTGCCTCGTCATAATGACGATTGTATAACTATAAAGGAACTACCGTATTTCCTCTAATAAACGCCCCCCCCCCTTGACCAACTTTGGACGCTTCGTTCTCAGCTCCATTTGGAGATATTTTTGTGTTTAATATACCAAACGATAACCCTTAATGTCTTCTATCTTTTCGTATATTAAATATAAAATTCTTTCAAAATGGGGCTGAGAGCGAGGCGTCTAAACTCGAAGGCTTCTTCTAAACGTCTAAAGCTCCGCCCCTTGACCAACTTTAGACACTTCGTTCTCAGCCCCATTTTGAGCTATTTTTATGTTTAATATATCAAAAGATAGAAGACATTAAGGGCTATCTTTTAATATATTAAACATAAAAATACCTCAAAATGGGGCTGAGAACGAAGCGTCCAAAGTTGGTCAAGGGGGGGGGGCGTTTATTAGGGGAAATACGGTACCATATTCTCTCTAATAGAGGTGCACTCTTTCTCTCTAATAGAGGTGCAATAGTAGTGCACTCTCTAATAGTATTGCGGTCCAGGAGGGGGTTGACAAAATAGTAGTGCACCCCCGGAAAATTTGAATTTCTGTTTGCTTCTTTTTCATCTAAACCCTTTTGACTTTATGTTTATGTGAAAGCTATTCAAGCATTCAAGCAAGCTTCTAAAGCTATTCAAGCAAGCAAAAGTGAGGCTTTTTTTTATTCATTTATTAACTTGTCTTCACATGAAAAAGTTAGCAAAAAATCTAAAATTGTTGTGCAAAGTGCTCCAGATGAATCACAAGCTCCAGTTGAATCACAAGCTCCAGTTGAATCACAAGCTCCAGTTGAATCACAAGCTCCAGTTGAATCACAAGCTCCAGTTGAATCACAAGCTCCAGTTGAATCACAAGCTCCAGTTGAATCACAAGCTCCAGTTGAATCACAAGCTCCAGATGAATCACAAGCTCCAGTTGAATCACAAGCTCCAGTTGAATCACAAGCTCTG